TGATGCTTGTCTGTTGAGTCTATGATCTCACGTACACCTCAGCCTCATCCCACCTCACTAGCACAGAGGATTTACTACACTTAAAATTATCTTTTGTGACATCAAACAGAGGACACCCTCCCCAGCACTGGGAATCATGCCCCAGCCACGCTGACACTGCGCTTGGATTGTCACACTTCCTCACACTCACAGAGGCTCGTGGCTCTCCACCCTGCCTGGCAACCAGAGAGGGGAAGACACTTTCCTAAATGCACACAGCAACGGGGACTTGGAGTTCCCATTCAAGCCCTTTCTCACCATCCAGGGGAGGATGTTCCCCTATGTCTCTTACATTCTAATCAGGTGCTGGGCATGTGCTTTCCTTGGCTCGTCCAGAGTCCTGAGGGCCGACCATCCCGTCCCCCTCCCCACTCCTGCTTCTGAGGCTTGGCAGCCCCCACCTCTCCATCTACACACACACACACACACACATACACACACACACACACACACACACACACACACACACACACACACACTTCGTTCCCCCGGCTTCCTTCCCTCCTCCTTGCCCACCTCAGGGCAGTCCTCCACCAATTCTTTGAGCCCCACCACCACTTCTCTTTAGTGTCTGGCCCAGTGAGCCCTCTGGAAATAAATGAGAACTTCACCTCACTCTAAAAAGGGGGGTCAGGCCAGACTCAAACTCAGGCTCCCCCTGGCCTCTTGACTGGGTGGTAGGGTTTCCTAGCTCCCCAGCCCAGCCTGACCCCAACCCCTGGTTGAACAAATATTTACATTTGCAAAATAAATTCCGGCAGGAAATCTGGCTGGGGGTGGCGACTCCCTGTGGCCTGTGGCTTGCTGAACTGTGCAGACATGCGTGGCCCTAAGCTATGAACAGGGAATTCCTCCTTTGGCCCTAATGGCACAGGGTTCAAATCCCAGCTCTCTCTCCCCTTCTCCGTTAGCCTCACACTTCCCAGAGAAGTGTTTTCATCTGCCTGTGGAGTGGAGAGCAGAGGGCCACCCAGGCTTGTTAGGCAGCACCCGGTCCCCAAGCCCAGGCAGACGGAAGGGAGCACTTTTGGGGTACAGACGGTCAGGAACTAGAGATAAGCACAGGTTGGAGGAGATCAGCTCAGGAAGTGATGAGAATGTCGAGAAGGGCTTTGGCACAGGGCAAACAACCTTGTCTATCCAGGAAGGCTTCCTGGAGGCAGTGACATAGAAACAACAGCTATAAGGCTTGGAGGAATATGGTGTGTGCATAGGAGTGTGGGAGTGTCGGGGAGGGGGCAGGGAGGGACCTCCCAGATGGAAGGGGGAAAGGCCAGATTTGTGGTTTTAGAACCAGCTGGAAGCCTTTCAGGTGGGAGATGAGGGTTGTGGCTGAAGAGGGAGCATTCATCATGGACAGGCAGGAGGATCAGGGGCCTCTCAGCCCACTGGGGCCTTCTCTGGGGTCGTGGCCACACACCGGCCAGTGGGAGGAAAGGTACAAATTCACTCCCTGTTGAGCTCCTAGGAGCTTGTGCCACGTGAGGTGGTGATCATGTTAAATGGTTCTCTCCGTCAGTCAGAATTCAGGGGGGTTCTCTGGGGCAATGTTGGGGAACTCTGAATCCAAAACCACCATTCTGTGGTCTTTCTGATGCTTTTGTTATTTCTTTATGCCGTCTTTTCTTTCCTTTTTCATATTACCACCTTCGATTACCACGCTGTGTCCCATCTGCCTGGCCTGCTGGTAAGGCCAGGTTTTCATTGGGTTGTTTTTGTTTTTTTGTGGGCTTTTTTTTTCTCATAAGCCCTCAGCTCCCAGCACATTATCCAAAAGCAAATTAGTGGCAAAAAGAATTTCTGACCACAAGTGCACAAATGACTAACACCGGGGACACCCCAGTGGGATCCTCGTCAGATGACCTGAATTCTATCATCTGATTTCACTCATTTTCAAGCCCATTGTGTCTGCTGCCTACTGTGGCTTGCTTTTAATTCCGTTTTCTTCCTTAAGCTGCATTTTCAGCACATGATTCATACACTTATCAGCAGTGGGTGCCGGCTCTGTGCTAGGCGCGGAGCAGCCCAGCGAAGGAGCCAGACAGGGTCCTGCCCAGCCAGCAGTGGACAGTGGGCTGCGGCTGGGAGCTAGTTGGAGTATGCAGTTTGTTGGAGGCCCAAAAGAGCTGGAAAATGAAGAACCAGGATGTGGGGGCAGAGGGCTGGCAGGCGCGGATGCTCTGCTAATGCTTCATCATAGAGGAAAACCAGATTTCCACAGGGAGGGAGCGATCTGCTGGTGCTTTTTGTCAATGTCCCGAGAAGAAGAATAAAATGGGACTTTACATCTTCCTCATGGGACAGGAAGGATGATGGGGGGCTGGGCCAGGCCATTCATCTCTCTGTCACCAGCATCCCGGCTGGACCCTGCCTTTGACTGATGGGGAGTTCACGGAGGAGGGGTTGATATGAAGTGCTGAGTGACCCAGGAGAGGGAAGGTCAACCCCTGGAGTCAGAGGGCAGCACCATTTAAGCCAGTTGCCAAAATCCTGGTGCCCCAATGTATGTCAGAGGAGAGCTGTGTTCTCAGAGTGTTCTGTGAGTCTTTTTTTTTCCATTACTTCTTTTGTGTGTGTACCATCAATTTGTATCTGACTGGTACAGGAGGAGACTCCTCCTCCTTCTCCAGTAGAGCATCTGCTGGATCTGAACCACGAACCTCTGGGGTTGCAGTGCAGCTTCTTGCCACTAGGTCATCAGAGCTCCCTTGTGACTTATTTTTCTGAAGTAGTTTTCCAGAGTCAGACCGACCTGGGTTCAAATCCAGGCTCAGGACTTTTAGAGGGAGGTAGCAATCAATGAGTGAGACCCTTCAATTAGGAGAGATCAGTTGTGTTGTTATAGTGTATCGTCTAGTGGAAACCAACTCATAGCTGACCCTCTAGCAGGTTTTTAGAGGCAGTTTAATCTCACGGGAGGAGATTACCCACCTTTCTCCAATGGAACAACTGGTGGGTTTCGGCATAACTCCTTGCCATTGGGCTACCAGAGTTCCCTAGAGGAGAAAACAGAGGTGAATCCTATTAACCCATCCTTTTACCTGAGCGTAGGAGTGGTGGTGTCATGTGCAATATATCTGGCTCCTAACCAAAAGGTTAGTGGTTCAGATCCCACAGCTGCTCCATGAGAAAAAAGATGGGGGTAGTCCCCTCCCATAAAGACTTACAGACTCGGAAACCCAACAGAGGGTCGCTGCCGGTCAGAATCAAATTGACAACAGTAGGTTCGAGTTTTTAATCTAAGTGCCGGAATAGAGGAGCGGAACTGCCTTGGTTTCCCCATCTGTAAAGGGGAAGGATAATAAGTTGAGACAGAATGCATTGAAGGACTCAGAGGGTGCCAGACACGGAGTGAGAGCCCCACAAGTGTTAGCTGTTATTATGCTGGTTCGAGTCGAGTCAGCTCTGAGTCAGAGACCTTCTGAATAACAGGGCCCCATCTGAGGCAGCCGCACAGCCCTCGGTGTGTGTGAGCGCAGCCTTGTAGCGGCCGTGCCGGGTCAGCTCCTGAAAGGTTTCTCTCTCATTATGGCTGGCCCTCTCATTTACACCATTATTACCATCTGCCTCCTAAGAAGTAGGAAAAGGAGCAGTTCAGCAAAAGAGAGGAAGACTCTTAACACTGTGGCTTAACGGTGAGTGCAGCAATGGACTTGAGGATGGAGGAGGTTGTGAGGACAGAGCAGGACAGGGCACGGTTCAGATCTCTTGTTTAGAGGGTCATTGGGATCATAATCTACTCAGTGATACCTAACAACATTGACCTAAGGCCTGGCTGACCCCTATGTGGTACCCGCAGTTAATGTGCCAGCTGTTCCCCACAAGGTTGGCATGAGACTAATCAGGCACGGATGCCCGTGGGGATGCCCGGGGTTAAGAATGGACTCAAGGACAACTGGTTATTGGTTCAGGCCAAGCCAGGCCGTGTTAGGGATGGAGCATGGCCCCTACTGGCCAGAGAGCCTGGCTCGGCCCCAGTTATGAGCTAGCAGTGTTCTTCCCCCACCATTCTGAGTGAGTTACTCCCTGTACCTAGACTTCTCGGATGGGTGTCTCGGAGAAGCAGGCCCAGTAGTGGGGCGGGAGCAGGGCCTGGCAGCCTCCCTGCTGGGGACCAGCCAGAAGCGCCCGTCTGGTTTGAGTTCCCGGCGCCTCTCATTCCCTCCACCAACCCACAGCCCACTCTGAGCTGCCAGACCTGAGCCTTATTTGGGTCTTGTCCCCCCCCCAAGACGACACTTTGCAGCCTTAAAAGGCAGACCTGGGGTTTGGGGGGAGTTGGGAGGGGAGAGGGCATAGCTGCCACAGCTGGCTCCAGAGACCCTCCAGCTGTGCCCCTGCCCCAGTTTGACCAGCCACCCTAGCCCTCCAGCTGTCACCACCGCTGTCCACGCCCAAGACAGACCAGCCAGGCCAGCCCACCTCTCGAGGATGAGGCCCCCCGGCCCTCCCAGGCAGCTGCCTCCCTCTGGTTTGCATTTAAAACCAGAACTGGATCCACTTCAATCTGGTCTTTCCAAGGAGGCCAGAAGAGGGTGGACAGCGACGGTCGCAGCTGCTATGGGCAGAGCGCCAGGCCCCAAGTGTCCTCACTAGGACAAGCCTGGGAGATGTAGCTGTCTTATTGTCCCGTTTTACAGATGGGAAAGTAGGCAGATTTAGGGAGGATAAACCACACACAAGTTTATGAGTGGCAGCGCTGTGACCTGCCCTGGTAAACTCATCACACAATAGTTGAGGTTGTTGGGGAACCCTCAGCCTCATTTATAGCCCCCGAGCTCACCTCTAGCCCATTCCTCAGCCCCTTCAGTTTGCCTCCTTTGACCAAGTTCACGCTGTGTGACTCAGGTAGATTGTTCTACCTCTCTGAGCCTGCCTCCCTCGGCAGGAACGAGAGTAGGGTAAGGTGGTGGGTGGCCAGGAGGTGAAAGTACCTAGCCTCTGACTGTCCTGTTTCTCAGCCGCAGGCTCCTCTGGCCACGTGGAACCCGGGTGGTCTGGCCACAGCATGCGGCGAATGGCGCTTCGGCCCCCAGTCTTCTCAGGTGGGTTCAGAGGCAGCTGCTCGGAGTCCCCTGGGCCCGGAGGAGGCTGGAGGGCCGTCCAGGGCAGGATGAGGCCTGTCCTGAACCAGCTGGGTCCACTATGGAGGGTCAGGGACAGCCCCCATTACATCCCCTTGGTCTGGAAAGCAAACTGAGTAGAGAAAGGGAGGCCCCACAGGGGGGCAACTTGTCCCAGGCCCAGACACCCTGAGACCCAGGACAGACAGACATGCATCAACACAGACTTCTTCTTTGTCTTTACACTCGCCCTTTCCGAGAATTTTGAGGCACCCCACCAGTGGCTATCCATCAACAGCCCACCAAAACCTCCCAGCACCCCCGCTGTCCCCATCCTAAAGAGGGTCAGAGGGGCTGTTCCCACGTAAGGGAACATCCAGGCAGGTTGGGGACTTGGTGGCAAACTTTATGCTGGCTCCAAGCCCCCGTGTCCCTGCGTGTGAAGCAGAGGGGTGACCAAGGCCTGACGCACAGCATTGTCCCAGGCCTGGGGGGCGGGGAGGCGTTGGGAGCACCTGGCACAGTGCCTGGCAGCTAGGAGGTGCCGTCAGGATTTGGAAATGTCAGCAATAACTTCAGTGTGGGACTGAGGAAACGGGAAGAGCTGGACAGGACATGGGAGGGTGCTTCCAGAGGAAGGCTTAGAGGGTGGCCCTCTGAAGCCAGCCCAGGCAGACGACGGTCCCCAAAGTCCGAGCTCTAGACCTTTGCAGGATTTCCTGCCTCGGTGCTGAGAAAGGGGTTATTTTTTTAACTCAGAAGCTGTGCATTCGGGTCCCTGCTCCTGCTCTGGGAGAAACAAGTCCGCTCTGGAGGCCTCAAATAGTCCCGGTTCCCCACAGGCTGTGGGCCACCCTGGCCAGCAGGGACTCCACAGGCCTTGTTCCCACTGCATCCTGCCTCCTACCCCCCCAGAGGCACCTGACCCTGGCCCCAGCCTCCTTTCTCCCCTCAGGTTGTCTCAACTGCAGCAAAGTGTTGGAGCTGACAGAGCGGCTGAAGGTGCTGGAGGCCAAGGTGGGTGAGCAGTGTCCCTGATGCCTCCCGCCCTGGAGCTGGGTAGGACACAGCATCCCAGGCTCCCCACCCCCTTCCCCAAAATGCATCTCTGCGCTGAGCTTCAGCACCCCCATCTCCAGAGCCTCACACTGACACTGACACACACACACCCCCACCAGACAGGCACCATCCTCCACCATTTGTTTCACACTCCTCCCTAGGGAGCCCTCCCAGGCAGCTCCACTTCCATGCCCTCACTCCTCCAAGCACCTGGAAGCCCCCTCAGTTGCACCCTCCTTCCCATCCCAGCCACATGCACACAGATACCACCCCAGAGCTCAAGCCACCCTCTCCCTTTATTCCTATGACTACCCATTGCTGTTGATCCAGAACTCATAGCTGACCCTCCAGGGAGATTTAGAGGCTGTAAATGGCACGAAAGGAGATTGCCCATCTTTCTACCTTGGAGTTGTTGGTGAACTTGAACCACCAGAGAACCACAACCTTTGGGTTAGCAGCACCCGTTCCTGAGGGCTGTGCCCCAGAACGCCCTTACCCCCTACAAGGCCACCTCTGCTGTCACAGAGTAAGAAAATCTCTACTGTACAGATCTCCAGCTGTCTCAAAACTTAGAAGTTTAGAAGTTTCAAAAAAGAGGAAAACTTAGAAATGTGAAAAACCTACCAGAACAGTATTCCCAGCAGACCACCTGTTGCTGTTGCCTCTAAAATAAGCAACTATTGACATTTTAGTATCTTTTCGTTGCGGTTTTCTAAGTGTATGTGGAAGCTGTATGTTGGGTCCACGTAGCCCTTGCGTCACCATCCTCTCCTCTGGCAATCTGTCTTTTCCATTATTACTTGTTTTCGTTTTATTCTTTATTGTTGTTGTTGTCATCATCACCATCATCATCATCCATTCATGCATGCACTTTTCTTTCTCCTGCTCCCCCAAGTCCCTGGGTATGGCTGCTGTCATATACATGGTTGTTTTGGGGGTTTTTTCCTTGTATACCATCAAATCAATAGATTCATCCTAGAGAGGGTTAAACCAGGCTGCTCCTTGGAGGCAAGGATTCTGGGGCTTCGTCTGACATACTTTGGACATGTTATAAGGAGAGACAGGTCTTTGGAGAGGGACATCATGCTGGGCAGAGTGGAGGGACAGCGCAGGAGGGGAAGACCCTCTATGAGGTGGACTGATTCAGTGACTGGGGTAATCGGGATGGATGTGTCAGAGGCAGTGCGATTGGCACGGGATAGAGCAGGGTTTAGGGCTGTTGTACATAGGGTCGCTATGAGTCGCAAGTGACTCCACGGCACATAACAACAACAACAACAACCATCAAATCAAATCCGACTGGCACTAGAGGAGATTGCCCCTCCTTCTCCAGCAGAGCATGTCCTAGATTCGAACCTCATGCCTTTGGGATTGCAGTGCAGCTTCTTGCCACTAGGCCACCAGAGCTGTGTCCTTCCTTTCACCTGCTCCAGTACAGTGTTCATTATCTATCCATTCTGTTTCCGCTTACCCCTCTCCTCATCTCGATCCTACTATTAGATAAGTAGAGTCTTGATCACCTAGCACCATTGTGGTAAAGACATGATAAAGCGTGAGGCTTTAAAAAACCAACGTTGATGGTCTCGCAATTCTGGAGGCTTGAAATCAAATCCACGAAATGAGTGGACACAGCGACTGTAACTATGGACTCGAGCACAGATGGTGAGGATGATGCAAGATAGAGCAGGGTTCAGATCTGTTGCTCTTAGGGCCCCTGTGAGCTGTGTATCTACCAACAAAGTCAAATGAAGGTCTCAGCCCTGTTGACTCTTTCCTTGTAGATGGGTCTGGGCATCTAGGCGTTCCTTTCTTCCTTGGCTTATGGAAAGTCCTCAGGGGGTATCTGTAATCTCACACATGTGTCTCTCTGTCTGTACGGCTCTTTTGATAACTCAAAAATTCTTAGTTTTAGGACTCACCCTTACACTGGCATTGACTGATTGGCTGCATTGCACTCAGTCACATTCTGTAAGGTCATTACATTACATTCTACAGATAGAAAGGTGGAGATCTCAACACACATTGGGCAGGGGGACACAATTCAGTTCATAACCAAGAGGTAATTCAATGCTCTGCCCGAGTATGGACTCTAAATGGGCAAGGCCAGACAACAGGAGTGGTGTGTGTTCATTAAGAGGTTTTCATTCCGTGGAATATGTGCTAGGAAGCCAGTGAAAAGGGCTTCTATTTTCTGTCCCTGGTTTATCAAATGGAAGAGCAAGCTTCCAAACAGTGTGTGTTAGAACCTGAATCTTGAGGCACTGGAACTCCACAGCTTCTCCCTGCACATAAGAGACAGTTCAGCCCCCGTCCAGGAAGACAGTTCACAATCCAGGCCCTTCCTGTCCAACACATTTCTGCTTCTCTCTGCACAGGCTCCATAAGAGGGCTCCCCTCCCTGGTCGTCATTCTGGCCTTGTTTGATGCGGTCCCCCAGCCTGCAGCTCAGGAGGGCACAAGGATAGTGACAGCTAGGCCCAGAATGTGACTTTTGTGCCCACCTTCACCTGGTAGCCTAGTGAATAAAGAGCTGTGCTGCCAACTCAGAGGAAGGTACTTCGAATCCACCATCTGCTCCAAGGGAGATAGATGAGGAGCCTCCTGTGTGGATTACTGCTTCTGGAATCCCGCTGAGGGGTCAGCTATGAGTCGGCACTAATTCCACAGCACACAACAACCACCACTATCTCGAAACTCTTAGTGACCCCAAAGAATTGTTCCATGGAGTTTTCCAAGGCTGTGAACTTCTGCAAACAGATTGCCAGACAGTCTCCCCCTGCAGCTGGCCTGTCCCTGGTGAGACCCTGGTACCAACTCTAACCCTGTCTCCCCTGTTCCTCCCCAGGTGGCTTTGTTGACTGTCACAGAGCAGGCAGTGCCCCCAGTCCCAACTACCTTCAAAGACCCCGCCTCGCTCTGGGGCTCGCCAGCTGCCCAGGGCAGCCCCGGGGACGGAGGCTTCCTAGGTGAGCAGGCATCAGGGATGAAATGCACATCCCGTGTGAGAAGGAACACTGGACAGGATATCAAGTGTGGGAGACTCGGCCTCACCCTGCCACTGACTGCCCACCCTCTAAGCTTGACCCTCAGGCTTGGGGCCTCAGTCATCCCAGCTGTCCAGTGAACCTGAGGGGACCCCTACGCACTGGCATCCTACAAGAAGCCCTGAGGATTCTTCTCCAGAGCAGAGCTGGGGGTGGGGACACTGGGGAACTCACCCTCACCCAGACTTAGCTGGGACACTGACCTCTGCCTGTTCCCTGTCCCAGGGCCACCAGGAGCCAGAGAGAGTATGAGGCTCTCATTGCTCCCTCGAGATGGTACGTGTGGGCCAACAGGCTGAGGCCAGGGTGGGGGCAAGAGCTCAGCCAGAGCCGCCACCCTGATGTACTTTCATTCACAGACCGAGTGGGGACCCGGGGGCTGCCTGGACCCACTGGCCCTAAGGGAGACACCGGCAGCCAGGGCCCGATGGGAATAAGAGGCCCTCCAGGTGAGTGGTACAAATTCTGTCCCCAACCCCACCAGTCAGTCCCAGGCAGACTGCTAGGAGCTGGCACCCCTGTTCTGTGATACTCCATATCTCCCTCAGTGTGGTCTAGGCCTGTCTGGCTGGCAACCTGTTTCTCTGCTCACCACTCCTATCTTGCATTTACTCAGTCTGTGCTTCAGGGTCACATCTTCCCAGCAGAGTCTGTACCAGATGCTGGGTGGGTCTGCCAGAGCTCTCAGACTGTCTAGGGAAGAGGCAACAGAGAATCCATTCATGTCACCAGGATGGAGGATGTCAGGGGGATGGGAGTCCTAAGGAAAGAAGCACCAGGCTGAGGGGGTGGGTGTCTGGAAGGGCATCCTGGTAGGGCAGCATCTTAGCTGAGGCCTGAAGTTTGCACTGGCAGTGCAAAGGAAAGACCTGGAAGTTAGAGGAAGAGAACATTCTGGAAATCAGTGTTTATCTGTCATGTGATAGCAGCTCCACAGAAGAGAAACATAGCAAACTCGTTCCACAAAAAAAAACTCTGGCCCTTTTTACGAAGATGGAGCAGAAAGCAAAGAAGGAAGCCTCTGCCCCTCCCAAAACTGAAGCCAAAGCAAAGGTGTTAAAGGCCAAGAAGGCGTCCTGAAGGGCAACCACAGCCACAAAAAAAGATCTGCACATCACCCACCTTTGGAGGCCCTAAGATGTTGAGACTCTGAAGGCAGCAGATACCCCTAGAAGAGCACTCCCAGGAGAAACAAGTTTGACCACTGTGCCATCATCGTTTCCCCTGACCACTAAGTCAACCATGAGAAGATAGAAAATAATACACTTGTGTTCACTATGGATGTCAAGGCCAACAAGCACCAGATTGAATAAGCTGTGAAAAAGTTATATGACATTGAGGTGGCCAAGGTCAACCCCTTGATTAGACCTGATGGAGAAAAGGCCTATGTTCTGCTTGCCCCTGACTAATGCTTTGGATGTTACCAACAAAATTGGGATCATCTAAACTGAGTCTAGCTGGCTAATTCTAAATAAAAGTTTTTCTCACTAAAAAAAGAAAAAATCCTGCAGTAGACATGGTCCTCCTCACACACACAGGGGGTCATCATGATTAGGATTGATTTGACCACAAGGAGTCTAGGTTATTTGGTTGGTTTGATTGGTGGTTGGTTGGCTTAGGTGAGTGGGTGAGTTAGTTGGTTGGTTGGCTGGCTAGCTGGTTGGTTAGTTGGTTGGTAGGTGGGTTGGTTGGTAGTTGTGTTGGTTGGTGGTGGGTTGGTTGGTTGGATGGGTTGGTTGGTAGTTGGTTGTGTTGATTGGTGGATGGTTGATTGGGTTGGTTGGTGGGTGTGTGGGCTGGTCGGCTGGCTGGCTAGCTGGTTGGTTGGTTGATTGGTTGGTTGGTTGATTTGTTGGTTGGGTTGGGTTGGGTTGGTTGGTGGGGTGGGTGGTTAATTTGGTTAGTTGGTTAGCTGGCTGGCTAGCTGATTGGTTAGTTGGTTAGTTGTTGGGTTGGTTGGTGGCCGCTGGTTGGTTAGTTGGTTGGTTGGTTGGCTGATTAGTTGGGTTTGTTGATTGGTTGGTGGGTGATTGCATTGTTTGGTTGGTTAGTTGGTTGGGTTGGTTGGTGGGTGGGTGATTAGTTGGTTGGCTGGTTGAGTTGGTTGGCTAGCTGGTTGGGTGGGTGGTTAGTTTGGTTGTTTGGCTGGCTGGCTAGTTGACTGGTTGGTTGGTTGGGTTGGTTGGTTGGTGATTGGGTTGGATTGGTTAGTTGAATTGGTTGGTGTTTGGTTAGTTTGGTTGGTTAACTGGCTGGTTAGCTGGTTGGTTGGTTGCTTTAATATGCCAAGTGTCCATTCTAGTGAAGACCCTGAGGATGGTATATTGATCCTCTTGGTAGGCATGAAAACAGAGGGCCACTTGGCTAATGAAAAGAGAGTCAAGACCTTCCCAGTCCTGAGGATGTAGGAGGCCTTGCCCCAAGCTGCCTTAACCCCTGATTATCACCTGTTTTCTATATATCCACCAGGCCCTATGGTTCTGTTGCAGGTCCGCATGGACCCCCAGGGAGTCCTGGACAAGAAGGAGCTATGGGCAGCCCTGGAGAGAGGGGCCCTCCAGGCCCCCCAGGACCTCCTGGTCCCCCTGGTCCTCCAGCCCCAGTTGGGCCACCCCACGCCCGGACTGTTGAGCCAGGTGAATCCCACATGGTCACATAGGTCATGGTGAGGAAGAGGGTTGGGACACTACTACTACAGACCCCACTAGCACTAACCTGGTGCCCAATATTGGAGCCACTTACTTTGCTCTTGATAGACTACATGCTACATGTCAGTTGATGCTCCCACAGTTGCTGTTCTCTGCACATATCAGGGAAACTGAGAGTCAGAGAAGGAGCCTTTGGTCAGGGTCAGACCAAGATGCCCTCAGAGACTATACTCAGAGCCACCAGACTTAGTCATTTTTCCAAGCCGTGGAGCTGCCCAGATCCAGCCCTCACAGCACAGGGAAGCTCCAGACAAGAAGCCTGCCTTGAGCTTCCAAGGCCATAGCTAGCCTGTGCTCCATGAGCCAGGTCCCTCCAACCCTCAGGTCCTCCTTCACTCAGGTGCATCCCGCCTGACCCACGGCTATACCCCCACCTGCATGGAACCTGAGCTTGCTGGCCTATGTCTTTAGCACATGACTAAGCAAACCATTGTCCCTCCCCAAACCTCAGTTTCCTCATCTGTACAATGGGAACAGTGACAGTGCCAGCCTCCTAGAGCTCTGTGACAGCCATGCACAGAAGCCTGGCACGCACCAGGGCTTTAATAAATACATGTTCTCATGTCACACATGCCTGTACAGGCTCATCCTAGTGGAGAGTCTTACTAGTTGTCACCAGCTAAACTGGCAAGGTCAGAACCCAGATGTCTCTGCAAACAAGTTCTGACTGTCCTGTTAACCAGTATTCCCTGAACCCCTCTGCCCTAGGAGCAGGTGCCTAGTGGCCCCAGATCAACTGCAGGCCACCCCAATCCTGCCATACTTGGCTTGATGGTGGTAGCAAGTGCACACAAGTCCTACTCACTCACCATCTCTCCTCCCCCAGGGGACCCATTACTATCCAACACCTTCACTGAGACAAGCAGTCACTGGCCCCAGGGACCTGTTGGGCCTCCAGGACCCCCAGGACCCGTAGGTAAGTTGATTCCAAGCCCAAGATAAGGAATGGAGCTTGGAGGTGTCAGAGAGACTAGACCTGGGGCTATGAGGAAGGACCTAATGGTAGATTTCATGGCATTGTACTCTGAGGTCATCTCTCTCATTTTAGGTCCTCCTGGGCCTCCTGGTCCCATGGGTCTCCCTGGGAGTCCTGGACACATGGTGAGTAGTTCTTTAAATATTCCCACCCATCATCCACCTATACCCATCTATCCGTCCATGCATCTATTCATCTATCTACTCAGCTTTCCATCCATTCACCCACTCTCACTTCTATTCACTCACCCATCAGTCCACCCACCCACCTTCTATCTATCCATTCACCCATTCATCTATTATCTACTCACCTTTCCAACCATCCACCCACCCTACCACCCATCCACCCACCCACCTTTCAGTCTAGCCACTCAGCCATCCACCACCCACCCTTCCATCTGTCCACTTATCCATCCATCCATCTACTCATCTTCCATCCATCCACCCACCCATCCTTCTATCTATCCACTTCCCCATCCATCCACCCTCCATCCATCTACCCACCCAGCCTTCATCCACCTACATACATCCACCGACGCTTGCATCCATCCTCTCACTTTTCCATCCATCCATCCATTCATCCACTCACTTTTTTGTCTATTCACCACCTTTTCATCCATCCACCCACTTTTCCATCCATCCATCCATCCACCCATCCATCCACCCACTCTTCTATCTATCCAATCACCCATCTATCTATCCATCTACCCACAGTTCCATTCATCCACCCAACCTTACATTTATCCACTCACCTATTCACTCGTACTCCTATTTATTTAATAACCATTTGTTATTTACTACAAAATTACTTTCCAAAAATCTTTTGAGTCAAACTGTGTATAAAGAGGCAAGTATTAATATCAGCCGAGGTCAAGAAAGTTAGAGCCTCTGGCTCCAGGGCTGTAACCAGCTCAAACTGAGGACTGTCCAGATACAGGGCCAGACCTCTTAACACAGAGCTCCACCTAATGTGTGACAGGTCCTGGCTGTGTTAAGAACTCATAGGTCCAAGGCATGATGGGGACTCCCTACCCAACCTTCCCCCATCCCATGTTGTTGACCTGGGACAAAGAAATAGCAAGAGACAGGGACACCAATAATGAAGAAAAAGAACAGAGAGCATAAAGGCAGGGGATGAACAGCCCAAAGACTGCAGCCCCGAATCACAAAGAGAATTCTATGCAAATAAAGCTAGGCTCTTTTTTTTTTAAAATTGTTGTTGTTGTGTGCTTTCAAGTCAGATCCAGACGGCTCATCCTTCTCCAGTGGAGCATCCGGTGGACTTGAACTGTGCGCATTCAGGATTGCAGCACAGCTTCTTGCCACCAGGCCACCAGAGTTCATAAGCTAGGCTCTTGTCTAGACAAACTTATTCTTGTATCATGAAGGAGGAATTAGTAAATACCGTCTACGAATTGGAAAGGCACTGTTAGGTTTGCCTTGGCACCTGATTCCTGTGATCTGTCTCAGGAGGAATTCCAGCTTATATTTTGCGCCTCCCTTAATTTTTGGTGAAGCATTTTGTTTAACATTTAGTTGAATATTTGGCTTCCCACATCCCCAGCCCCTTGTTCTATCAGCCCCACCCCTAGCACAAGGTTGAGGCTCTGTCTTGTTGCTCAGGAAACCCCCCCCCCGGCCCTACTGGCCCCAAAGGAACCTCCGACCACCTAGGAGAGAAGGGAGAGCAAGTGAGTACCCAAGTGACCCCGGTTGGGGGATCCTGGGACCCCATGTCAGACACTCCACAACTGACTGTTCTCCCTTCTATACAGGGACTTCGAGGGGAGCCTGGTCCCCAAGGGTCTGCTGGGCAACGGGTAAGTAACGCCCCTATCCCTGTAACTTCTGTACCAGGATCTCACTGTTCCAGACCTTGTTCCAACTCCATCTCTTTATGGCCAGAGCCCCTGCTCTCCCTGCCTGGTCTAAAGCATGCTCCATCTCCTCTCAGTCTGTCCATGTCACTGGACCTGTCAGCCTCTTAAAAATCAGGTTGTACTTGTCTCCTTTACTCAAGTCTCCTGGGTCTCTTATTTCTTTCTCTCTCTTCTTCTATGTCTCTCTCTCTTTCATTCCGTCCATTCACTGCAACTATTGTTGTAGTTATAGAGATATTCCCATTCATCCACCCACCCATCTATCCACCTATTTACTCATCCATTCACCCACTCACATTCTCACTCATTCAGTAATAATTCATTATGGGATTACTTTCCATAAATAGTTTTTTTGTTTTTTTTAAATTTTTATTGTATTATTTTTACATGTACTGTCAAATCAGATCTGACTGGTAAAGGAGGAGATTGCCCCCTCCTTCTCCAGCAGAGCATCTGGTGGATTTGAACCGCGTACCTCTGGGATTGCAGTGCACTGTCTTGCCACTAGCTAGGCCACCAGAGCTCCCTTATAAATGCTGTTGTTGTTGTTGTTGTTATGTGCCGTCGAGTCGCTTGCGACTCATAGCGACCCTATGTACAACAGCCCTAATCTCTGCTCTGTCCTGTGCCAGTCGCACTGTCTCTGACACTCCTATCCCAATTATCCCAGTCACTGGATCAATCCACCTCATAGAGGGCCTTCCCCTCCTGCGCTGTCCCTCCACCCTCCCAAGCATGATGTCCTTCTCCATATGTCAACAGGTAAGTCTTAGTATCAGCTGAGGTAAGAACGTTAGAAGTTCTGGACACTTTTTCTCTGTCGCCGCCGAGTTGTCCAGAGGCCTGGGTGCGTTCAAGATTCTGCCCCACCCGTAACCCATCGCCATGGCCGAGGAAGGCATTGCTGCTGGAGGTGTAATGGACGTAAATACCGCTTTACAAGAGGTGCTGAAGACCGCCCTCATCCACGATGGCCTAGCACGTGGAATCTGCGAAGCTGCCAAAGCCTTAGGCAAGCGCCAAGCCCATCTATGTGTGCTTGCATCCAACTGTAATGAGCCTATGTATGTCAAGTTAGTAGAGGCCCTTTGTGCTGAACACCAAATCAACCTGATAAAGGCTGATGATAATAAGAAACTGGGGGAGTGGGTAGGCCTCTGCAAAATTGACCGAGAAGGAAAGCCCCGCAAAGTAGTCGGCTGCAGTTGTGTAGTTGTTAAGGACTATGGCAAAGAATCACAGGCCAAGGATGTCATTGAAGAGTATTTCAAATGCAAGAAATGAAACCAATAAAGAACTTGGCATATTGCTTTTACTTTTTTGAGGGGAGTGAGGAGCAATAAAATGGAGATTTTATAACAGAAAGGAAAAAAAAAGAAGTTCTGGACATAGGAATACATCTACGTATAGCATTGTCTTGCTGTTTTATATGTTGTGGCTATTGCTGTTGTTGCTGCTAGGTGCTGTCAAGTCGAGTATGACCCGTAGAGACCTATGAACAATAGACCTGAACTCTGTCCGATCTTGTGCCATCCTCATCATCTCTGATACACTCGAGCCCATTGCTGTCGTCACTGGGTCAATCCACCTCCTTGGGAGTTTTCCTCTCTGTGACTGACCCTCCACCTTCCCAAGCATTCCCTTTGTGAGGAATGGCCGCTCCTAGCAACATGTCCAAAGTATGAGAGATAAAGCTTTATCATCCTTGCTTCTAAGGAACATTTGTCTTGTGGTTGTTTTTGTTAAGGAGCTCTCTGGTTACATCTTTCCCAGTAAACATCTGTCTTTTCTTTTTAAAGTCCTGTACTTATATCCAGAACTCTTCTCCAATACCATAACTCAAAGTTATCACTTCATCTTCTCAGAAGCATAGCAAGTATACTCTCAAAACCATAACTGTCCAGCTCTCAGAAGCATAGCAAGTAAATGAAAAGACCATGGCCTGAATCCTACATCTGTTAGTCTTCAAATTGAAATCATTGCTCTTCAGTATTTTGGAGAGGTGCCTACCAGTGGACTTGCCCAACACAATACGTATTCTGATCTCCTGAATGCTGGTGTCAAGGGTGTTGATTGTGGATCCAAGCAAGACAAAATCATTAACAGTTTCAGTCATTTCTCCATGATGTTGCCTATTGGCCCACGTGACCTTTGTCTTCTAAATGTTAAGATGTAATCCATATGGAAGGCTGTATTCTTTGACCTTCTGCAGCAAATGTTTCAGATCCTCCTCACTTTCAGGAAGCAAGATTGTGTCATCTGCATAATGCAGAATGTTGATGAGTCTTCCTCCTATCCTTCTGCCACATTCTTTTTTATAGAGTCCAGCTTCACAAATTACCTAAAAATAATAACTGAATAAACTGGAGCCACCAACTCAGGGGTACCCTATGTGAATGAACCCTATCTTTTACCATAAGTATGCAGGAGTGGCATCCACTTCCTAAACAACATGCCTCCAGAAACTCTATGAACTTTTATAAATGTCGATAGTTGCAGAGGGGCTTCAGGCTTTTTGTTCATAGGGTCGCTATGAGTCATACTCGACTCAACGGCTCTTATCAACAACATATGTAGAAAGAGATTATGGAAAGCCTCAATGTTATCAATCAGAACAAGGCCAGGGCCAGCTGTGGAATAAATCATCAGTTACTTCTTTGAAAGTTCAACCTGAAGCTGGAGAAAATGAAGACAAATTTCATGAAAGCCAAAATATTACCTTTAGTTTATCCCACTGAATTTAAAAACCATCTCAAGAATAGATTTGAGGCATTGACTATTAATGACCAAAGACCTGACAGTTGTGGGAGGACATCATCCAGAGGGAAGGAAGGAAGGAAGGAAGGACGGACCAAAAAGGACCAAAAGTGTACAAATTCAGCCAAAAGGAAGAAAGGATGAATTTAGACAGCTTAACAGGAGCTTTCAAAGGGCAGAAGACAAAGCAAAGTATTATGACTAAATGTGCAAAGAAAATGTTCAACAATGAATGAATGAAAACCCAACCTTTCTGTAAACTTTGGTTAAAATCACAATTTTTTTTTAAAAAAATGTACAAAGAAGTTAGAAAACAAAAAGGGAAGAGCATCTGGTGGCCTAGTGGCAAGAAGCTGCACTGCAATCCCAGAGGTGTACGGTTCAAATCCACCAGATGCTCTGCTGAAGAAGGAAGAACAATCACCTCCTGTACCACTTGGATCCGATTTGACAATACACATAAAAAAAAATAAATAAAATAAAATAAAATTTAAAAAAAAAAAAGGGAAGAGCACACTCAGCATTTCTCAAGCTGAAAGAACTGAAGAATAAATCCAAGCCTCAGGTTGCAATATTGAAAGATTCTACAGGAAAACTCTTGAATGATTACAGGAAGCATCAAAAGAAGACAGAAGAATTACAGAGTTACTGCCCAAAAAAAGAATTGACAGTAAACCATTTCAGAAAGTAGCTTATGACCAAGAACCAATAGTACTGAAAGATGAACTCCAAGCTTCAGTGAAAGCATTGTCAAAGAATAAGGCCCTGGATATTGATGGAATACCAATGGATGTGTTCCAGCAAACAGATTTTAGCCCTGCATGCGCTCACTCTGGAATCAGCAATCAGAAAAATCAAATGGAAAAAGAAAAAAAATCAAATAGCATAATGCATTGAACAGACTGCTGTCAAGAACCTCTTTAAAGTTCTGAATAGCAAGAATGGCAGTTTAAAGACTATGGTATGCCTCACTCGATACACGGTATTTTTAGCTTTTTCTTATACATGTGAGAGTTGTACAATGAATGAGGAGGAAGGAAAACTGTAGTGTTGGAAAAGAGTATTGAATATACCATGGGTGAACAAAAGAACACACAAATGTGTCTCGGAAGAATGCAACCAGAGTGCTTCTTAGAAGCAGAAATTGTGAGACTGTCTTGGGCCATATTGTCAGGAGGATCCAATCTTTGGAAGTAGATACCCTGTGTGGAATGATGGAGAGACAGCAAAAGAGGGGAAGACTCTCAACAAGATAGACTGACACAGTGACTGCAATAATGGGCTTAAGCACAATGGAGATTGTGAGGATTGGGCAGGACATGTACATGGGCTCCATATGAGTTAGAGTAGACTTGATGGTACCCAACATCAACAACAAAACTGACAATCTTTTCCTTTTTTAAAATTATGATTTGACCAAAAAAATCACAAGCAAATTCGTTTTCCCTTCAACCATTCCTACACATCTTGTTTTAGAAGATGCAGAATACAATAACCACAATGTAATAGCACTCTTCCCACTTCTTCCCTGTGATTCTCATTTCCACTAATCTTTCCGTTCTACCCCTTCCTGCCTTCTGGTCTCTATTCTTGGTCAAGTGCTGCCCTTTTGACCTTATATGGTTGGTTAGTCTAAGAATTTAACATTTCCCTTGTGTTATTGGTCCCTTAATAAGTGGACAGGATATTAACAGTATATCACAGGGTACAGATTGGTTGTTCATAGGTTCTCTATGGGTCGTACTTGACCTGATGGCACCTAACAGCAACAACGACATTAAGCATATTAAGAGAGCTCTGGCGGCTTAGTTAGACCAACCCAAAGGCAAGCAGTTAGGCTCCACCAGCTGCTCCTTGGGAGAAAGATGGGCAGTCTCCTCCTGTGTGATTTACAGCCTCCGAAAAGCTCCTGGAGCATCAGTTATCGGTTGGTACCGACTCAAAACACAAGAGCACCACCATATAACGTAGATAGCATATTGAAGAAGTTCAGGATTCTGCTCTATTCCTTCCTTGAAGAATACTGAATTTTCTCTTAGCATTAACAGTATTTGTCTCATTATTTAACAACATTAAGCATATGGTTTGACTGAAAGTTGACCAACTAGGTTGAGTTTTATTCCCAATTTGAAGGATGACTAAGGGTCCTGGTCTCGGGGTTGCATCAGTTTCTATCAGACCTG